GATGGTCAGCAGCAGCCCAAACATCAGCTTGCGACCGAACGCTGGGTTGGCATAGCACACCCGGATAAGCACGTCCGATGCCGCAGGGCCGCTAAACCTGCCTATGCTCGTGGCCAGAAACAAGTACCGGACAAACGTCGATGCGTCCTCGCTAGAAGCCTCCAAGACGGTGGTCGCGATGTTGAATAAGCTGGGCACGACCAACACGATGGGGGCGACGTTGGCTGCAAAGGCCACGTACAGCCACATAAAATCGGACGAAGCGATGCATTGCACCAGTGACAGGGCCCGGACGTGCTCAAAGTAGACGTTGTCCGTGTTGCTGTCTGTGTTGGCGATGTGGTCAGAGTAGTTGACCAACGTCATGCCGACCTTGAAGTATTCATCCTGGAGGTGCTGGTGTTGCATGCGTTGGCCGGATGAAGTGTGTACGGGCACGCAGTGGATGTCGTGCCCGCCGACAGAAAAGTTAGCCGGCGGCGTCCGCATCACCATGGTGGCAACGATGAACAGCAGCAGTGCCGTGATGGCTACACAGTCACATGGCACGGTCGTTGCAGTAAGTACACTGTACGGTACAGAAATAATGAAGATATCCAACTCATCATTCCACAAACAGTATTGGACTTCAAGGACAAACACTCTGTAATTCGACATTGCTAGTATTGCAGTGCAAAGTGCCATACTAATAGTTATTACTACAGTATGTAAACATACATCATTGTTGAATGTGCACTTCAAAGTAGTGTGCATCTCTTCATCCATGGAATTCGACAGCAACTATTCGATACTATACATTCATTCTGTCGGGAAAACTGTACCTTGCACAAGAAACACTCTCGTTAACCCGATTTCGTCGTCGATATTGCTGACGCTGTCAAGAATGTTGGTCGATCGATGCATGAGTGTAGCCGACAACTTTGTCCAGAGGCCCGTGCCCACCCCCAAGCTCACAATCGCGAGTCCAGATACGAAGCCCCGCAGATCGGGAAACCATTTCTGCAGCGTCGACATGGCCGTTAATAGCACCACGCCGTAGCCTCCGCCCACAAGGGCGCTGTACCTATAACAAGAGAGCATCACATCCTTGATACAAGAACACCGGTTAGGCCACGTACGACCACGTGAAGAGCGATTGATTCCGAGCTACGACCGCAATGTGCGACAGGGCCAGTCCACCCACGACGAGGACCGAGCCAAGCAGCATACCGGTGCGAGGACCGCGCCGCTCGACAAACGGCCCCACGATGGCAGCCACGACGCCCAACACAAGCGTTGACCCGTAAAACCCAGACAAGCCCGTGTACGGAGCAAAGTACCGCTCCAACGGCGGCGCCAAGATCTGGAACGAGTAGATGGAGCCGAGCATGAAGAAACTCAGCCACGACAACACCGCAACGTGCCATCGACTGAAGCGGAGGACGGTCCACGTGGCGTACGTTCCGCCGAAGCGCGGACACATCACCAACCAGGTCTCGGCGTCCAGCTCCTCCACCGACTTGAGTGGCACGTTGATGCACCAGTAGTCAGCCACCCACGTCCACATTTGCACACTGAAGGCATGCTGGTTTTTGTCGGCCTAATGCTAGGGGGAGAGAGATAGACATTTGGCCTGCGATTGTTGTTTACCCACACGGGGTGGGACGAGGAATTCCTTTGGGGTAGAAGTAGTACTTTGATACTTGACTGGTATGAATAGTATTAGACGGTATTCAAATTTGAGAATTTATTAAACAATGAATTTGACCCTGGAATTGCCAAAAAAGGTGCAATAAACAATGAATTTGACCCTGGAATTGCCAAAAAAGGTGCTAAAGCACAATAGTGCTACGGTATTGAAAAACTGGTTGAAAATGTGAAGCTTCTTCGATAGTACTCCGGAGTTGTACGTCCTACTACTGTAGTACTTAGTATATTATTGTATTCATAAGATGCGAACGGATGCCAATGTGCTTCATTCTGTACTCAACTAATACACAAGACGTACTAGTATTTTTTTACTATTACAGTAACGTTAGTATGACTACTATTATTAATAATAGTTAATGGTATTATTGTTACTCACTATTAACGTACTTCGAGGTACTAGTAATAATAGTACGTCAGGATTATACTACGTAGTACTCTATAGTATATACTAGTGGTGCAATATATGGATGAAGGAAATCCTCGACTACCCCATGTGGTGCCTGACCACACAAATGGTTGCAGCGTAGAGCCGAAATGGATACGACCTTTACCAGGAGTTATATTAAATACCCTCAACCATTCATAAAAGTGCTGTGTTCAGTCGACTCAAATTTGAGCAAGGTCATTACTATGTATAATTCACTTCTATCTGCGATTTGGCCTACACTGTTGCCTTCTGGTTGTTGTTTAGCCATGCCCAGTGGGACGAGGAATTCCTTTTAGGATGGAGTAGTACTACGAATATTGGAATACTACCACGCACTATTATAGACTAGTAGTAACGTTAGGATTAATATATATTAGTGGTGCAATGCAAATATGAAGGAAATCCTCGACAGCTCCATGTGGTGTCTGGCGGAATAATTCCCCCACAGCAGGTATACTTGGGGGGTTTGTCGGTATTATTACCTTCAAAACCCCCAAACTATCCTTTACTGGGGGAATTCCTTAGATAAGACTCAATGCACTCATACAAAATGACAAACTTGTACGTTGTAACCTGAGACTTCGTCCCACCCCCGATGGGCACGGATATTTCGAAGTACAGTGTTATTCCCGGAGGTAAGCGCATCATAGCGGTTAACTATTGCTAACCAGTGAGATGCCTTAACCCCTAGCTGACATGAGTTGCTGGGGCTACTATATCATTAGAAATCCCACCACTACAGTACACTTATTTGTGCAAAAAATCCGGAATTCACGCGTCTTGATTGGCTGTTGCAAGGAATCTCAGAATTCCCGATTAACAGAAAACCGAATCTCCAATACTACATACAGTAGTACTTGGGTGTTTTGAAAGAGGTAAGGTATATATTAAAAATACCTGCTGTCAAATTAGTCCGTCTGACGACACAAATAATTGCAGAGTAGAGTCGAAATGGAAACAACCATTGCCATGAGTTATATATACCATAGAAGTGTCGTGCTCAGTTGATTTATGTGAGCGAGATCATTACTATGTAGTATTCACTTCCACGACGGCGTCGAAGTCACATGCGTGTACTGGCGTTCAGTTCGCTTTGTTAATATACGAGGAAGGACGAAAATGTATTCTCCAAAGTACTAGTATAACCTTTCCACATGTTCAACCATACTACTACAGTGGTACGGCGTGTAATCGATTACTACGTAGTAATTGAGTTTGGATTATCATTTTTAAGACATTCCTCGCGAGGGCCGACACTAGAACCACATGTTATGGAACCGCTTCGCCAATTGTAACGCGCCTGCTGGACCAGGGGCGGTGTGTAATCTTCGGTTTTTACTTCGCTCAACGTTTCATACCTCGTGCTTCGACCGATCTTCTTCGAAGTTCGGTCCTCGTCTTCGTACGCAGCCCTTGTTATCCGGATTCCCCAGGGGAGGGACGGATAAATCCTTGCGGAAATAATCCGGGGAATCTGGGGATCGAACCCACGACCTTTGAGTTAAGAAACCGATGCTCTACCACCTGAGCTATTCCCCCTCTGCGTAGTAATCGACATCGGTAGTTGGTCATTCACTGTCATTATTGCTGGAAATATCAATGAGTAACACTATAATAGTACTACGTAGTATAGTGTACTCATACTGTACAAGTAGGCAAGGTTGTGTAATTTAATTTAATTGACTCCATAATATAAATAACGCCACGACGCTGTCCCATTATATTTTCTTTGCACTGCAGTCATTGGCAGAAAAGATAAACGTAAGGTAGCCAATCACATGAAATATACATGTTGTACTCGATCGAATCCATTTGATCTAACGTTAATTTAAGCTTGTA